CTTTAAGTGGTATTGATGCACAAAATTTTTGTGGTTCTGTTAGGCTAGACTTATTTTTCTCGCATGCAATAATATCGTAATTGCAACTGAAAATAAGAAAGAAAAGAGGGAGACGTGAAAAGTTATAATATTGTCTTCTATGCAATATCCGAAATTGAAGATATCTTTGTTGAATGCTTGGTAACTGTACGACATTACTTGTATTACATGACACCTATAGTTCACCAGCTAAAACTGGCACATAATCAGACTGAAAGTTGCATGATCAGCCCCAGCCTACATTGCTTCTCCCAAAACTGTATATGATACTAAGCTCATACCATATCATTTTTCATGATAGCTTGAAGTCAACAACACGTTATGAAGATGTAGTCCTCTTTATTTGCTTTATTTGGTACTGATGTGCTCACAAAGCATGTATACATGCATGACCATATGTTACGCAATTGTTTGAAAGTCTTGTTTCCTTTTATTTCGTCTTCAGCAAATAAGAGATTGGTCTACGAGGAGGTCAAGAAGACTGTCGAGAGAGATCGATCAACAGTTAAGGTGTCTGAATTGTCCAGACATGGGCTTATGGAGATTACAAGGAAAAGAGTATGTTATTTCGCTCTAAAGTTCTTTGTAATTTTATCAAAGAAGCGAACTATTGAATTTGATAAGTGAACTATTGAAAGTCATAATTACACTAGCTCAATTGTCTTATCTTAATCATGGTTGGGTGACTACATCTTCTACCTGACAGGTTCGACCTAGTGTGACATTCATGATCAGTGAACCATGTGCATGCTGTCATGGGACGGGGAGAGTGGAAGCTTTAGAGACTGCATACTCTAAGATTGAACGTGAAATTTGCCGGCTGCTAGTAAGTAAACTAAAAACTTAGAAATACCTTTTCAAGGTTATGTTCTTGGGTTTTCCTCTCGTTATTATCTTGTAAGTTGCAAAAGCTCGATCCAAAATCATGTAGTTCATTAACCAGTTTATCCATTTTTACCACTTTGTCTCCATTGTTCCTTCTTTTTCTTTGTTAATTTTCTTTTTGCATACTCCTAATTTAGCATGATTCAACATAATAACCGGATTTGCCAAAAATTAATTCTTGTTTTCTATGTTTCTTGTGTTGATCAGTCCACAATGGATCAGAAGGCAGACCCTGAAAACCCCAAGTCTTGGCCCAGATTTATTCTCAGGGTTGATCAGTACATGTCTAACTTTTTGACTTCAGGAAAGAGGACAAGGCTAGCAATCTTGAGTAGTTCTCTAAAAGTGTGGCTTCTTCTAAAGGTATGCTCAAACATTTTGTTCATTTTCATAATTAAATAGCAGTTTTGTTCTGTATTTGCTGATATCTGCAAGGTGTGATTGACCAGGTTGCTAGAGGTTTTACAAAGGGAACCTTTGAGCTAAAACCTTTGACAGGTGACAAGGAGTATAAGAATGGACATGAAACTGCTATTTCAGTGTTACGACCCACAGACCCCCCTCGGAAAAAACTCACCCTCTTCCCCATCAAAAAGTGGAAGAGTAGTGGAAAGTGATCTTGCTTCCTTTAAGAATCATCTGTACATGTCTCAATTCACAATGCAAGGTATAATTTTAGTAAACCAATTCTTTCGTCCTTAGGTCAGCTGTTTCCCTCTGAGTTTTTCTCCTCGGCTTGAAGTAGGTCGGTATAAGAAATAGCTAGTTTTATGAGAAACCCAATTTTGCATAGCATTTACAATTGGTAATAATCTGTTCCACTAATTATCTCGCCTCGCCTTTTTGCAAGCCACAATATAGACATTTATCTCATAGTCATGAGCTTTCGTCATGCTGTGATAGCATGATGCTGGATAGCATATTACTTTTATGTTTTCCCTTTAAATCAAACTCTTCATTTTACTTTTGAGTATAGACACTCTCCTCGGGTTTTCATTCAATCACGGCGAACTAGTGATTCAAGGGGCAAAATCTTTTCTTGATTGACTTAAACTTTCAGTGAAAACGATTGAAATAAAAGATGTTGCCCTGTGTACGAATAGAGGTGGATAAAAAGAGACTTAATTTACAGAAAAGCTTAGATTCACGAATTTTCATTTAGTTTTCAGGGGATCAAGGAATGGCCTGTAGAAAGGAGAGCCGCAACTTTGAAAGCTAGAATATCTTTTGTTTATGGCAAACTTTTCACTGCCTTTTAGCATTGTACTCAAAGTTGGCGTTGGTTGTTTTGCTGGAAATTTGGACCTTGGTTCCTACCCTGTTATCGATTCTGCACCACCTTGCTTATGGCAAGATCAAGTGATCGCTCCTTTGCCCAAACAGATTTGCCTGGAAATGATAATGGGTGAAATAATGCGTATCAGCTCCTGTTTAGCCTCTCAAATAACATAAATGGCTAGGTTTATCACTTATTCATCTCAATAATTGCAGTCCTAGTTCAACCTGCGCAAGTCAGCCTATGGCATGGTACTGGGACTGGCAGCAAGCACGAGATGTCCAACTCTCAATTGCAGACTAGGAAAACGAGTAAAGATAGCAACTTCACAGCTGTAGTACTTTGAACACTTCTGCAAGTTAGCCTACGGCAAAATGTAACCACAAAGAGGATGAGAATACCTTGCACTCCAAACTTAACCGAAAACAAAGCAAGAACAATCCATCATTTGAAAGTATACATCAAATAAGCAAAACCAATGCCGCCCAAAAATAGGAAAATATACTGAAATCACATAGAAATGCCTGAATTGGATATCTCCATAATGTAAAAAAATCGATAATACAATCAAATGGCTATTGTAAATTTTCACAAGTGTACAATCTAGGGAAAGCTTAAATAGGATACAACAGAAGTGATTAACAGCAACATCGAGAGGAAAAGATATCCGAGCATGTATACGGTCTCAGCTTATCTTCAAGTTCTTGTGCTGTTGGAAGCGGTTCCATCCTATATTTGCTACTTTGGACACAACAGAACTCGTACAAATTTCTGCATGCTCCTTTACTAAATGGATAGACTCTTTCAGGAATGTTACTGCAAATCAATGCAAGTTCAAAATTAAGGCTCAAGGACAAGACAAATTCCTGATGAGAATACATGCCTCCATTTGCTTTTGTTATATAAATTAAATTAAATCACTCAAAGATGTTGACCATATCTGTAACTAGCATTGTCAGAGTACTAGCTCAAAGGAAAAACGGAGATATACCTGCCTCTACCCAGTAAATAGAATCACACAAGAATTTAAGGGAAATAACCAACCTCAGATATTGGATGCGCCGTCGTCTCACAAGCTCATAAGTGGTCTGATTTGTCAAAATTAGGTAGCTGGTTTAAGAAACATAAGTTCAGTCACTTTGGCTAAAGGAGAAAAACAAATATCTGCGGGAATAATATAAGCACAAATATGTCGGCTGACCAAACTTAACATGTCAATTTAGTTCACTTTAAAATGTGGTAGATTTCATTTTCAATTTTCTGAAGATAAACTTCAGAAAATCTTCATATTTCCCATCTTATTAGGCTAGCAACCTAACCAAGCCAGATTTTACTCGCAAATTCTAAAGTTTGAGTAGCTTAGTGTAAATATGTTTCTACCTCCCTCACAAGACTGAAAGGCGGTAACCAGGCTTCCTATTCCATCTTTTCTTTACACGAGATATAGATTATCTTAAAGAAATCATTACATCCTTTCCCATAATTATAAACCCTGCAAGCCAAACAGAGGGTTCCAGATTCCAGAATCCCATATAACCCTTTTTTTTAAAGGGGACTAACACACATAATTTTAAGAACTTAAAATCTAAAAAACTTCAAAAAATACGCAATTATATGCCAGGCAATGCTAAACAAAGAGTCCATATTCCAGTAAAGAGAAATCTTACCTATGGAAAAGTAAGAGGAGGAGAAGAAAGATGAGGCAGAAAAACAGAGTAACTAGCAGCATGATCATAATTGCATATAACCACCTGCAATGAAGCAATTATAGCATTTGACTTCAGATTCAATTAAAGATGAAAGCAGGATATAAGTTTCACAACAAGGCTAGTCTTTTTATGGTGGTATGTGTGTGCATTCAACAAACACATGTAAATAGAGATAAAAACAATAATCATGTCCACACCATCTTGACACATCAGCTTGAGCTTTCATGAGGATCCAGGCCCCTTCTTTAACTACTGTTTCCCATAGTTATTTTGTCTCTTGAAATTGGTTTTTGCAACCTTATACAACCAAAGTAGTGCCTTCTTCAAGCTTCTTACTTCTCAGAAGAGGATAAGATATTTCAAACAACAAGTCAAATATTCCAATATGCGCATGTTTACATTTCACCAACTGAAGCTTTTGATTTAGGAAGAATATACAATAGTCGACAGTTTTTAGCTTCAGCTAAAGCAAATGAATTTTATGAGTTGGCATCTTTCAATTTGGGTAGGAAAACTAACAAGTTCACAGGGTTCCCCTAGTTTTTTTGGTTGGGGGACAATGAAACATATTATCCTTCTCAAGTTCTCCTGATGCTCCCAAACCAACATCCATCTTTATGTACTTCAGGGAAGCAAGATATCATTAAAGGAGCAGAGGAGAAACATGTTTAAGGGCAAGAACCAGAGGCTAACCAGAAAAGCTCTTAAAAGATAAAGCATCATGAAAAGTTCATACCAAGGCTTTGATATGTCAGACTTCAAGAATTGAATATATAACGTGCCAGTCCAAAGGGATAAGGCTGTTTCTCCACAAATGTACCACCTGTTATATCAGGCAAGTAAATAAACTAGCCGAGACGATTTGCTTAAAACTCTAAAATTAAAGAAATAACATGCAGTGCATATGCGTCCCGACATGTAATATAAGCAGTTATTACCAGTTGAAAGTTCAGGAAAATCAAGCATCCTCACATGCTCCGTGCGTGTTTATAGATGAAGAAAAATACATATAATTACGAGAAAGTACAATATTACAAGTCCCCTACTAGTGTCTCTCATTGTGGTCTTAATACTAGAACCATGATCATGTCACTTCCACAGAACATATAATAATGAATTAGACAAATCAAAGTACATATATCTTCCAAGCCCACAAAACCAGTTCAACATATTCTTACAACAATCTTTAAAATGAACCAACATCCTCTTATAGGTGTCTTGAACTGATGAACTCTTCTGACAGGGATATGTCCCACCAATTCAAGCTAAAATTGAAGCCTCTTCATGAAAGCAAGAACCTCGAATGATACTTTAAATTCATTGCTTAGCAAGATAACTATGTTAGTATCATTTCTGGAAATGACATCAACAGTACAAGTTTTATGTTTTTTTTTAATATTTTTTTCGCAGGTACAAACAAACAATTTCAATCAAAATTGCAAGATTAGTTTACCGAACTGCGAGCAAGATACAAACACTGTTGGTGTATCAACTTAGTAGCATGGATGCTCACCAAAAACGGCAATGATTACCCTGTCCTATGCATGTGCCAAGCCAAACACAGTGATGATCAAACTGTAGAACACATTTGTCACAATCATGACAATGTTTAGCTCGTGGAGGCTGCAAATCAAGCAGCGTAAAAATCAAAATCTGTTAAACATAACTGCACAAATGTAGATTAGTGGAATTAAAAGTTCTAGGCACTTAACAAGACAAATAGTCACTGGATAAGTCCCATTATAGAAATTGATCTCCTGACATCAGTAACTTTCCACAAAATTACTAAGATAACCATAAAGTATATTGGATAAGTAGGAGTGCTAATATTAGGATAAGTACAACAGCTGACCTATAAATCATAAATCAAAAGATCATAAACCAATTGAAACAATTGAAGAATATATCTGCACTCAGCCTCATCTCAAGGAAAAGGGTTTAACAGAGGAAATCAGATATTGCAAAAGCTAAAGAAAAAGAACTAGATATGAAAACATGTCCACAAGTTTAGGGCATTGCTTATGTACAGGTGCTCACCAATAACTTTTTAACCTAAGAAGGTTGTGCATCNCCCCCCCCCAAAATTAGTAAGGGTTTGTTACTATGTGAGCACTGGAAGTGGAAGAGCTATTTGATGAGACCTTCATCAGATGATTGTACAAGAAGGAGCTAGATCGATTAGAGAGAAAAAAAAGGTAAATCCTTCTCCTCTTTGACAAGGGGTTAGCGAAAAAAGGGAAAAAAAGGAGCAAAAGCTCTAGAGTCTAGACATGGTTTACGAAAAAAGATATGTTCAACAACGATATGAAGAAGTCCCGGCCCTCTTTGAGTCTCTCCCTCACTCTTTCTCCTCGTTCTCTTCTTCCCCACCCTCTCTGTCATTCCAGAATCCAGATTCATCTTCAATATAGATACCATGTCCTACTCTCGAATAACTAAAAATTGTCTTATCAATTTTGATATCCTGATTAATTTCATCAAACCTCATTTCTTCTCTTGCATTTTGTTTTAGATATTTCGGGGCAGTCCTAGGAAGAAGAAGCACATTACACCATCAATGGAGTTACACATGTAATCAATGGCCTCTTTTACTTTAAAGAGCATATCTTGCATATTTTGCAACTTGTCTATTGGCGAGATAATGCAGATCTTTTTTTTTTAATAAAAAACATTACGTTAATTTTTTTTCTTCTGAAGGTGGGTAACATTACGTTAATTTTTTTTCTTCTGAAGGTGGGTTTAGTTTTTGGATCTAGTGTCAATGGAGCTTCTTGTGGAGGAATTAAAGATTATTTCAAAGTTAGATTTGCCAAGAAATATATGCTCTTAAGTTGAAAGAATAGTTGTTTAATGGCGGGAAGAATTTCAGCTTAAAGACACAATTTATCCA